TAGAAAACACTTTCTTAGATACTCTCTTAACAAATTTCCTATTTATCTTACAGCAGTGTTAACTATAGTCATCATGTTTTTCATCATTACATCCCTAGTATTTATTTATCTTATAACTGGAAATTTGTACCTTTTATCCTCCAATTTCCCTCCCCCCTACTCCTTTTCTATGAGTTTGGGGTTTTTAAAAAGTTCCCATATAAATGAGATCATACAGTATTTGGCTTTCTCTGTCTGACTTATTTCATTTATCATAGTGCCTTCAGGTCCACTCATGTTGTCACAAATGGTAGGATTTCTTCATTTTTTATGGCTGAATAAATATTTCATTGTATGTACATGCCACAACTTCTTTATGCATTCATCCATCGATGGACACTTAGGTGGTTTCCAAGTCTTGGCTGTTGTAAATAATGCTGCCATGAACGTGGGGGTGTGCAGATATATTTTCAAATTAAAATGTGTTGTTGTTTTTTTGCTTGTTTCTTTGTTTTTAATCCTCACCAAGGATATTTTTCCCATTGATCTTTAGAGAGAGAGTGGAAGGGAGGGAGGAGAGGGAGAGGGAGAGAGAGAAAGAGAGAGAGAGAGAGAGAGAGAAAGAGAGAGAGAGAGAGAGAGAGAGAGAGAGAGAGAGATGGGGGGGGTATATCGAGGCATCCATGTGAAACAGACACATAGACTGGTTGCCTTCCACACGGACTGGGGATTGAACTTGCAACCTTGGTACATGCCCTTGGCCAAAATTATTACCATATCCAAGACCCTTTGGTCCAAGGGCTGAAGCTCTAATCACTGAGCAACATGTCAAGGCTCAAATTAGTGTTTTTATTTCCTTGGGATATAGTCCCAGAAGTAGAATTGCTGGATCGTATGGTAGTTCTGTTTTTAATTTTTGAGGATCCTCTATACTGTTTCCATAGTGGCTGCACCAATTTACATTCTCACCATAATCTACAAGGCTTCACTTTTCTCCACATCCACATTAGTATTAGTTATCTCTTGTGTTTTTGTTGATGGTCATTCTAACATGTGAGACTATATCTCATTTGTGATTTTAATTAGCGTATATCTTCTTTGAAGTGTCTAATCAGGTCCTTTGCCCATTTTTAATTGGGTTATTTGTTTTTTTGCTATTCAGTTGTGTGAGTTCTTTATTTAAAGGTTGTTTTTTTTTTAATTGATTTTGAGAGAAAGAGGAAGGGAGAGGGAAAGCGAGAAACATCGATGTGAGAGCAGAAAGAGAGACATCGATGTGAGAGCATTGATTGGCTGGCTCCTATAGAGCCCACAACCCTGGCATGTGCCCTGACCAGGAATGGAACTGGCAACCCCTCGGTGTTCCAACCAACTGAGGCACACCGGCCAGGCATGAGTTCTTTATGTATTTTGTATATATCTGATAAATGCATCAGATATGGGGTTTACAATTACTTTGGCTCATTCCATGGGTTGTCTTATCACTTTGTTGATGGTTTTCTTTGCTGTGCAGAAGCTTTTTAGTTTGATGGCAGTCCCACTGTTTTATTTTTTATTTTGTTGCTTGCGCTTTAGGTGCCATATAAAAAATTATTACCAAGACCCACATCAGGGAACTTTATTCCCGTTTTCTTCTAGAAATTTTATGGTTTCAGCTCTTCCATAAGTCTCTTAATCCAGTTTGAGTTAATTTTTGTGAGTGGTATAAGATATGGGTTCAATTTCATTCTTTTACAAATGAATATCCAACTGTTGCAGCACCATTTATTGAAAAGCTGTCTGTTCCTCATTAAGTATTCATGGCTTCCTTGTCAAATATTAGTTGACTTCCTGGTATCCTTAAAATACACTGAATTGAACTCAGAGATCTCAAAGTTTCTTTAAACCTCAAGATCCTGTTAGTTGACATTTTGGGGGTGTCTCAGGCCTTCACTCTGAACCTGTCGTTACACTGTCAGGAGATGCGCTGAACAGGGTCAGGCCCCATGGTTTTGCTTCCTTGTAAAAACTAGCATTGTGGTTTTGCTTTTTAGTCATTTACCTTTTTCTCACAAAGGACCTGCAAGGCTGACATCTAGAGCAGAATAATGCCGGTCCTTCTGCCACATTTATTCATAACAGAATCAGGGCTCAAGTAACCTCTCTAGTGACTCTCTTGCTTTCCGTTACCTGCTCTGTTGATATCAGGGCCTTTTAACTTGTTGGCCAAATTCATACGGTTAGGAGCCTTTTCAGTGTCATTGGCCTCTGTGGATTTGTTAGTATTATGTAGTGACCTTCGTTGTCTCTTGTTATGGCCTTCATCTTGAAGTCTTTTGTCAGATACAAGTATTGCTACCCCAGCATTATTTTCATTTCCATTTGCTTGGAAAATTTTTTTCCATCCCTTTCACTTTCATTCTCTGTGAGTCTTTTGTTCTGAGGTGGGTCTCTTGTAGACAGTATATATATATATATATACTTGTAAACATTATATATATATAACATTATTATATATATAATTATATTATATATATAATGTTTTCTTATTCATTCAGCTACCTTGTATCTTTTGATTAGAGCATTTAAGCCACTTACATTTAAGGTTATTATTGATAGATACTTATTTGTTGCCATTCTTACTCTTTATATGTTTATACCTGTGTTCTTCTCTTCCTCTCTATTTCTTCTTCTTACACTTTGCTCAAGAGAATGGCAATAGTTTTGCAGCATATTTTAAAAAATATATTTTTATTGACTTCAGAGAGGAAGTGAAAGAGAGAGAAACATCAATGATGAGAGAGATTCATTGATCAGCTGCCTCCTGCACTTCCCCTACTGGGGATCAAGCCTCTAACCCAGGCCTGTGCCCAGACTGGGAATCAAACCGTGACCTCCTGGTTCCTAGGTCAACACTCAACCACCAAGCCACACAGGCCGGATTGCAGCTTTTTTATACTTTACAATCAAAGGAGGAGACCTAAGTGGGGGGGGGGGTATGTGAAATTCATTGGTGATAGATTAAGGAGGCAGAAGAAAGCAAAGTGGGGAAACCTCTGAGATTGGATAAAGAGTGAAACACAAAACCTTCTTTTACATTGGTGGGTGTAGCGTAGTTACTAGCAACATTTACAGCACGTAGAGATGGCATATGGGGAAAAGATGACTGAGGGGCTCTGGGGTCTCTTGCTCTGGTGCTGTTGGTGTACCCTGAGGGTCTGGAAAAAGGGGATTACTTTGACATCCCAAGGGTATGTTATCTTAGATGCAGAAAGACAACGGATAGCCTTCCTTAAGGTAAAGATTGACCTTTGTCAAGGAAGCTACAGGCCTAGGATGTGACTACCAGCCATGACTCACTTTGTAGTTAGTAACCAGGTGGCTACTTTCAGGTTCTGAGTTTGTAAGGCCCGCCATGCCACTTCCCTGAGCTTGTCAGGTTCAGTAAGTATGTGACCCCTTTTTGGTCCGCGCTCATTTCTAGTTTTCCTGTCATTTAGGATGACTCTTGTGAGATTGTGGCTGTATCCGTTACCGGGTGACCGGAAGGCTGATATGACCCAGCCCTTGGGCAGGTTCCATACATCCCCCCAGCTCAGGCTTACTCTGTCCCTGGAGTACCTTTTGCACGCTCACCAAATGGACTTTCAGTACTTTTCCTCCAGAAGAACAAGTCCGGATGGTCACGGTTCAGGTTTTTATGTCCTTCTGTTCCTTCCCAACATTTCACACTTAACAGTGCACAGTGTGAAATGGTGTGTCTTAATGCCAACGTTTTGTGTTGCTTGAACAACTTTCATAGTAATTCATAATCCTATGAATGTCCATGTCCACACATTCCCTCCTCTCACCCCAAGGATATCTTAAAAAATCATGTGCCCAGGCTCTGTGATTGTCTTCTGTAAATACATCCTTTTTAAGCACCTTCAGTTTTTCTCCGTTGCCTACAGTGTACCCAAACCTCCTTAATGTCTCCGTCCAGGCCCCAAATCTAGTCCCACTGCCTAACGATCCACTCCTTTACACCTTTACCATCTCGACTCTCACAAGCCTTTCTTGCTTCTTTTGTCCCAGCTTTAGACAAGTGGATGCTGCCTAAAAGCCCTATTTTGACTTTGTTTTTGTGGTTTTTTGATTCCAAATACCCTTTTCCCCTTTCTCCCTATCCTCTGATGGTTTAAAATAATGAGCTCAACATTTATTATATAGTTGGTAGACTTATATATGTATTTATATATACAGAGTGTCCAAAAAAAGTATACATACACTTTGAATAATTATAAAGACAGTGTTTATTAAAATACATTTCATTTTGAAAATTGACCTGTCAGCTGTTAAAGTGTGTATACATTTTTTGGAGGCACCCTGTCTATGAGTATATGTATATATATGCAGACTTATGCACGTATCTCACAGACTGCTCTCCCATTTAGACATATTATCTTGGGAATTACTTAGTCTCTAAACTTGTGTGTTTACCTTTGTTAATAGAAGTGGGGTTAAAATGGATGGCGGTCTTTATTTCTGCCTTTTGTAAAGGCCTGGGCCTGAACTTAATAACCCGGGTGGAGCAATTCTGTGAGAAGAATGGGCATAACTCACCCAGACCCTTTGCTTTCTAATAGAATTTAAAGAATTTAGATGAGTGGCCAGTTAGCTGGGAAAAGGGAAAAAAAGAATTAACATTCGGTGAATGACAAGCACTTTATGTGTGTTATGTCATTTAATCATCTGAAACCCCAATGAGGTAAGTAGGGATTTAACAGGTGAGAAAATTGAGGGCTAGAAAGGTTATTTGTCCAAGATGTAAAACTCATTAGGCTCTCTTAGCTTCTAGGATCGCCCACAGACAGAGAAGCCTGAGCATAGCGAGTGCTTTTGTCGGCTGTGGTTTCTTTTCTGACCCTGATTATTCCCTAGAGACTGTAGACTACTTACTCCTCCTAACAGTTTGAAAAAAAAAAGTTTGGTTCAGTGAATGTTTTCATCCTAGGGTCTGTTCTTTCCCTTTCTCTCCAGGATAATATTTCTATTTAAACACTACTGAAGTCACAAAAATAATATTTGGCTTTCCGTTATTGTGCTTATTTCCTTAGGATTATAGTGTATTAAGTGTATGCATTGTATTTAAACTAGAAAGAAAGCAAATACTTGTTTAGGAAATAGGAAAGAAATGAAATTCATGGCAGATGAATGCATATTCTTAGTATATTGTTTATCATTTTTGTGTTTGGAGCCCTGTATATGTAGTTCAAAATCAAGGATTTCAGTGCCTTGCTTTAAGTGGTGGTGGCGGCAGCAGTAATAACAAGGTCAGCAACAACAGTTGTCATCATGTGCATACATGTGTGTTACATTTGTTGTCTACACATTGCTAAGTATTTCACTTGTATTAGCTTTCCAAATCCTTTCAATAAACCCCACAAGCAGGAAGTCTTATTATCTCCATTTTATACACGAGAGATCAGGAAATTTACCTAGGCTACACACTGACTTTGCAGTTTTAAATCTGAGTTAATTCAAATTTGTATTGTTCACTCTTAACTACTTTTTTAAAATATCTCTGAATATGTTGTTTTTCTCCTTTCTTGTGATTTGGACTCATTGCACTTTTCAGGGGGCATGGAAACAGATGATCTTCAAATGAAACATGACTAGGCCTAGTGGGTCTTATGTAAATCACTTGAATTACTGAGGCATCCTCAAGGAACTACGGTATTCCTTACTAAGTTATTAACAATCATATTTTTACAATTCAGGTATGAAAATATTACAGATTCATGAAGGTGCTTTATTCTACAAGATGTCATCGAAATGGAAAATTTCATGTTTAAATGCTGGCTGGTGGACTAGATGGTTTTTGATTACTGCTGATAAGGACTTTAAAAGGTTTGGCAGGAATAGGTAAACATCTTTTCTAGTTAGCATGCAGTAATACTGGATTCTAAACTTGCATTTTACAAGAAGAAAATTCGAGTTAGTAGGGACATAATATTTTTATAACTTTGAGGAAATTTTTATTGGCTAAGAAATACACTATGTAATATGTTTTAATGCCTTTATAGTAAACTCAGTATTTTTCTTCCTCTTTTTTAGTTCTCCAAAGGACATGGATGAAAATGACAGCAACCAGTCCCTGATGACAAGCAGCCAATATCCTAAAGAAGTAGTAAGAAAACGCCAAAATTCTGCACGGAATTCTGGAGGAAGTACTTCTTCTAGGTTTTCCAGGAAAAGTTTCAGACTGGATTACAGACTAGAGGAAGATGTAACTAAATCAAGGAGAGGGAAGGATGGGCGATTTGTGAATCCTTGGCCAACATGGAAAAGTCTCTCTATCCCAAATATCCTCAGATGGCTGATAATGGAAAAAGACCACAGCAGCATTCCCAGTTCCAAAGAGGTAGCGTTTGGCCCTTTCGCGTGCTGTGTACTTACTCTCACTCTACACACACACACATGTAACTTAACTTTGCTGTGAATTGTATTGTGACACTCAGGTTAGTTGAGCCCCTTTAATGTGATAAAGCAGAGGGCTAGGTTCTGGGGAGATAAAGTAAATAAGGCGCCCTCAGATTCATGGTGTAGCAGTAGAGTACATATGTGAATAACCAGCTTAGCACTGATCTAATGGCAACTAGAGGTAGGAGCAGAGTGCTTTAGAGGTGCAAGAAAGGAAACAATTCTCACTGGTGGGGCAGGAAATGGCTTCACAGAGGAACTGATACTTGACATGGGCCTTGAGAGATAAAAAGTATGTTGGCAGTGGTTTTCTAGGTGGCATGGAGAAGGTCACAAAGGTAAGAAAGTGCATGACATGTTCCATGAAGGACTAACCTGACGTGTGTTTGGAATATGTCTTCTGAGCGTTGAGGCGTGGCCCAAGAGCACTTGGTTTTTCATCCTTGGATAAAGCTGCTAAAGCTCTAAAAGAAATCTTCAGATAACCTTTTCAGATCTTTAAAAATTGGCAATAAATTATTGGCCTTTAAATATTCTGGTTTTACTTAGACTAAAACTTACTAACATTTGGCGTAAGGTTTATTAGCTGAATCAGATTATACTTTGGCAGGGATGGGTGGCTCCCAAGTACAGTAGCACCTTTTTCTCATTTCTCCTTTCTTAGATTCCTTTCCCTCTCCTCTGCCCTATCTCCCCTGGCCACTCTTCCATCAACTCAGGCTTTATGAGGAGTTGAGAGATGGAGAACTTGACGTTGGGAGTGGGGGATGGGTTGAGAAGAGTGGGGGCCCTGAAGGCCTGATCTGCAGTGGGGAGAGGGAGGAGGGGCAGTGGGTGGATGGATGGGTGGGGTGGTGGTAAATATTTTCTCTGGGTATGTGTGTCTACTTGTCTTTAAAGGATATGGGATAAAAAACACTGACATTGTCATTTTGATGCTAAGTAATGTTCACAGTATTAATCCTAGTAGACAATTGATTAACGTGAATATCTTACCAGCACTTTTTTAGAATGAGTTAGGACATTAATAGATAAAACCTTGTTATGTGTTTCAACTTTGAGGATGAGAGGAACAAGAAAATCTTTTTCTGGAGAACCCCATATGACGAGAAATAAGCATGGAGTCGAGCTGTGAAGAGAAGGGTTAGGGCAGGAGGCCAAGATGGGTGGGCTGCATATTGGGGTAAATTCTTCCTGTTTTTTGAGCCACAGCTTGTAAACATACAGAGATAGCAGTGGTGTCTTTAGTTTGATTTCAAAGAGGAAGGGAGTGACCCCATGAAGACAGACGTACATCTCTGCAGTCTAATGATTTGGAACTACTCCGAGAACTCGCCAGGCCAGTGGTCCTTAGCGTGTGTGTGTGTGTGTGTGTGTGTGTGTGTGTGTGTTTTAAGCTTTCCCGAACAATTTTGTTTTTGGAGAACAGTTGACAGATGTAAAATTAGGGATTAACAACAATACTGCTCATGTGTTCTCTGAAGCAATTAAATTACTTTATAGCTTCGTGGTCAGTTCACCCATTGATTCCGGGGTGAAGGAAAGTCTGAAATCGCTCCTTAGATTTTCCTTGCTGCTCCAAGCACGCCAGTGCAGTGTCCTGTGCGGGGCTTTTCTGTGGTCTCAGATGGCTGCCTCTTGGCACCTACCTCCACACACTGGCCTGTGATGACACGGTGATGACAGAGCTGCGGCCTTTTACCAGAGATGGCTTTGCACAGGGCTGTTGGACCTTTGCCCATAATTCAAGGGAAGTTTTCTTCTCCCTTTTCGGCAAGAACATGTGAGAAAATGCCCAATTCCTGAACTATTCCCCAGAAAGGAGACAGGAGGAGGGAGGGCTAGCCACTCCAGGTCTTCACCGGTCATTCATTATTTTCTCTGCTCACTAGCTCAGGCGTCCAGGCTCCCTCCCTTACAGTAATGAGAGTGAATAGTTTTTCTCTCATTAATTTCTCCATATTACATTATGAGACCAAGCCAAGAAGATCTCACATTCTCTGATTGGTATGGAAGTATCCTAGCTATTGACCCCCATAGAAGGCAAATTTAAAGTTTCCTAACGTGCTTAATCAGTCTCCCTGTCCGTCTCCACATGGTCCTCAGAGTTTCTTGGAATCTCGCTCTTGCTTTCAAGCACATCATCTCCACCAGAACACACCTCTGTCATTTAGAAGGATTGCATCTACTTAGCCAAGCAAGTGGCCGTGTATATACTCTAGTGCTCTCGCTAGGACATCTAAGGCTCTTTTGGATACTAACCCCTTTTGAAAATCTGATGAAAGCTGTGGATCCTCTTCTTACAGAAATATTCACATGCACATAACCACATTCCCTTTTACTATAAGTTTAGGGAGTTTCTGGACCCTTTCAAGGCAGTTCATTAAGTCATTTACTCATTCATTCATTTAGTGAGCATTTATTGAGCAAGTGTTCAATCACTAAAGAAATCTCTAGGTGCGAGAGGTAGAGCAATGGACAAAGCAGAAACACACCCTTGGCTGCTTGGCCCTGAGGTTCGGTGGACGAGAGAGACGGTAAACGAGTGAGTAGATTCTGTGGTATATTAAAAATGATTAGGTTCTGAGGATAATAAAGCAGAGAAGGAAGGGTGATGGAAGTGGGAGTTAAATTCTTTTTTTTAAGTACATATTTTTATTGATTTCAGAGAGGAAGGGAGAGGGTTAGAGAGATAGAAACATCAGTGATGAGAGAGAATCATCGATTGGCTGCCTCCTGCACACCCCACACTGGGGATCAAGCCCACATATACCCGACCAGGAATCCAACCGTGACCTCCTGGTTCATAGGTCAACGCTCAACCACTGAGCCACGCTGGCCGGGCGAGAGTTACATTCTTTAATGAAGTGTAAGTTTTTTGTTTGTTTTTAAGTCAGAAGATTTTCTTTTTAAAGAAAATGTCAAAGTAGGTCTCAACCTGTACAACTTAAATATGCATCACGTAAAAGGAGAAAGAAGACACTTTTGCCCTATTCCAATTTATATTTTATTTCTTATCTCTTACTATCTTTTGTTCCAATAAAAGCATAGAACCAGGTCAGATGCATGTTGACTTGTTATTTTCATAGATAATTAATTAATTCCATATTTAATCCCTATAAATTGCCAACATTATTAATTTTTACCGACTCCTAAATCTGATAGAGTCAGACATTTCTGGAAAAACAAAACAAAACCCATTAAGGTCCATGTAAAGAACACCTGTTTCAGATTATTAGGTCAGTTTAGAATTTAATCACATCTCTGGGAGTTGTTTTTGTTAGGCATTGGGAGGCTAGAGTTTAATAAAACACAACTTCAAATTATTGTTTTTATGGAAACAGACTCTTAGATGCAGAGAACAAACTGATGGTTGCCAGGTGGAAGGAGTGTGTGGGGACTGGGTGAAAAAGGTGAAGGGATTAAGGAGTACACATTGGTAGTTACAAAATAGTCACGGGTTTGTAAAGTACAGCATGTAATCAGTCAGTAATATTGTGTTATCTATGTATGGTGCCAGGTGGGTGCTTGAATTTTCAGGGGGATTTTATGATATGTGCAGGGTTATAATTACTGTATATTATGCAATTCATATCATATTTACTTAGGTATATAAGTATGAAAGTGTTTTGGAAGAAATATTATAAGATAACTAATAGAACAGGTCTAAATACAATGAAAAAGGGTCACTAGCAGAGCTGCATAATTTAGTTGCAGTCTCAGAGAATAGCATGTGGTTTTTTGTTAACTTTGATGATCAGATCTATTTGGAGAAAGAAGACCCCATACTTCAAAAAATGGGATTCACATATCACGACATCTCCCAGGTCTTAAGTCTACAGATTACAAATAATTTTCAAAGACAGTATTTTTGTACAAATTTTACATGTTGAATGGGCGATAAATTTCTGTTTCTGTTGTTTTTTAAACCAAAGTATTTTATCAGTATCATTTTTTCTATGAAATCTGTATACATCTTTTTTATTTAGTTAGTTTTTTTATTTAAAGTTTTAATGTGTCTCCTTTTGTTTCTGTTTTACTGACATTTCTGTCCTTGGACGGTTCTTGATACTGGCCTTTCCTGGGTCTTTAGAGCATCGTGCAGGACACAGGCGGGGCATTGTTCAGATGCTGTCACTGCTGTGTGGTTGCAGGCGGCTCAGTGACTTGCCCGATTGTTATTGTCACCCGCAGTCAGGGAAGAAGAGACAGAGAATCTCAGAGAGGGAGGAGACAGGCACCTCCTGAGGTTCATGAGGCGAAGGAGGCTGTTCGTAACCGTTACTGCCATGGCAGTGAGCAGGGACTGTCCGTCCGAGTGTGAGAGACACAGAACTGAGGCTGCACAGCAGGGCCGCTGGAAAAGTGGGACACCAGGGTCGGATTGCGGAAACCAGACTCCAGCCCAAGGTTTTTCCAGTGCGGGGCCTGTTCCTATCCAGTCCCTCAAGGAGTTCCTTTTCTTATTTTGTCTATAAAGTTAGGATAAGACCGTGTAGGTCACTGCAATTGTTTTTTGTTCATCTGACACATGAAACTACTTTGAAAATATTATCTTGCTCCAACCAACTGAGCCACCTGGCCAGGGTTATTCTCACTCTTAACTGATAGTGTGGGTATAGAAATTTAGTTTGGAAACAGTTTTCTCTCAGAATTTGAAAGCATTACCTCTGTGACCCTATTTTTAGGATTGCTATGGAGAAACCTTTATTTCTGCAGAAACTTGGGAAAGATAATTTCTCTGGCATCAGTGTTCTGAAATTTTACCATGATGTGTGGTTACTTATTCATCAATGCTTGATGCCTGGTGGGCCCTGTAGGTGTAAAAGTCTGTTTCCTTAACTTCTAGGAAATTTTTCTTGAAAATTTCTTTCTCTCCATCTTTCCTTTCAAAATCAACTTCTAATTATTATATGGACCTACTGGGTCAATCCTCCGTAG